CCCTGAAATAGTCTGGGATTCTTTTCTGTCAAATCAGCAAAGTCTGTCGGACCAAAGATATGAAAAAAGGACCTCATGGGCGTATAACTGTTTGTTTCTGATTTAAATACGATTAAACAAAACAGATGTGTTTGAAATATTGTGTTTGTGACACCCCTGAAATAGTCTGGGATTCTTTTCTGTCAAATCAGCAAACTTGAGGAAAGATAAACTTAATCTTGTGGGTGTACGATTTAAGGCTGTTTATTACCGACTAAAAACGATTAAACAAAACAGTGTTTGTGAATTGTTGTCAGTATTTATGAGATCTGAGCTCGCTTTTGTTTGTTTGTGTCATCAATAAAAAAAAAGAAGAAAATTAAACTTGAACTCATGGATGGCAAGACTGCCCGATCGTAATTACGGATATACAATTCTGCAATTTTTAAATTTCTGATTAAGACAAACAACAACTAAACAAGACAGACGTGTTTAAATCATTGTGTTTGTGAGATCTGAATCTGGAATAATTTTTGTGTCTCTTCAGCAAAATTCAATTTTGGGAACACCTCCTATGCCCCTTAACTTGTTATTTCTATTAAAAATTAAAAGAAAAAGATTTCTTTCTTTCTACTTTTTTGTATTCATGGGGCCAGGAAACAGTAAAATATCCTTGGTGAGATCAGCGAAAAGAGTCTGGAATTCTTTTTGTGTCTCCTCAACAAAACCTGATCCCGGAGACACCTCCCCCGTCAGACGGATGTGCGATTTCACACTGTTTGTTTCTGATTTCTCCGACTGGAAAGGTGACACTGACGAATGGCGGGAACAGATGGCAGTTTCTCTTATTTGTTTTTATCCCTTATAAATTGTAAATTCCTGACGGTGTAAACCGGTCCCGAATGGTGTAGGGTTTACATCAATCATTTACAGCAGAGACTGACTTCTCTAACAGACAGGGGCAGACTGATACAGTATAGACTACACAGCAGGCCTCGTGGCAGGACTTTTTTGGGGCTAGGTAGCCTCTACTAGCCTGGATGCCAGACCCAAAGCACACTGGACACAAAATATCTCAGTGTGCAAGGGTCTGGTAGGGCCTTGCACACTGAGATACTGAAAAATGCTGAAAAATAGTAGCCTCTAGCAGACTCTACAGAAGCGGCTGGAAAGAGTAGAAATTGGCCAAATAGGCAGATAACATGCCTGGAGAGTTGACCTGCTATTAATAAAAGGAGTACTGTTTGCCGCAATTTCTACTCCTTCCAGTCACCTCTGAAGCCTGGTAAAGGCTAGGAAAAAAAGAACAGATTTGGCCAAATAGACTACATAATTTGTCAGAGAAGTTAGCCGACCATAGTGGGTTGCAAAGTGTAGTCCTATGACCCTCTAACTCCTTGTGCAGATTATTCAGTTTATTAGGCCAAATCTACTATTTCAGAGTCTCAGCCAAACAGACAGATAACACGCCAGGGTTTATATAAACAGTTATATATTAGTGTTCAGAACGGCAAACTGTACTCCTTTTAATAGCGGACTAACTCCCTGCCATGTTATCTATCTATTTGGTCAATTTCTACTTTTTCCAGTCACCTCTGAAGCCTGTTTATAGAGGCTAACAGACAGGGTCGACTGGCGGTCATCAGGGCACAGATTTTTAACGACTGCAGAACAACAAAACCGGCCCTGTCGGACTGCTAGTATCTCAGGAGCGGGGCGCCGCGACTCGACTTTTACGAGTAACAACTCTCACCGCACAGATCCGGACTCTCCTCTGACGGAGAATAATGCGTTTATCTCGTAAAGTACCGCCGTTCATATAAACCGATAAAAGCCATTAAAGTAGGAATAAACCCGGCATCTGTCTTCATTGACCTCTGCTGTCTTCATCCAGATCCCTAAAAAGTCGAGCTAAGATATTCCTATTACATGTACGGAAGAATCATAACTAATAGTCAGTACTAGATGTATTGCATACTACATGCACGCACTCACAGAGGTTGCAATGATTTCAGGAGTATTTTGGGAACCTAATGCGTAGATTTATCTATGTAGGTCATACGGTGCCCCATGACCCTGAGGTGTCTAGGGCAAAACCCCAACTTCTAACCCCGCAATAGACTAATCTACTCGTCTATTGATAAGCAAAAACGTTTGGCATCCAAGAGCACTGAAACCTCAAAACCCCAAATTCAAGGATTCTGGTATATTCTGGTATATAGTATCGTATCATCGCCATGTAGGAATTGAGCAGAAATCGCACATATTTCAACTCCCATGTGGAAACCGTGTTAAATTCCAACTGTCAAACTCTATCTGTGTCAGCGCCGAACAGATCAAATAAATACAATTATGACTATTTGCCTTACTTATATGTCGATATGGCCGATAAGATTTTAGAATGATCACAGACGAACTTTGTTAATCTCTAATTATGCAGATCTATGGTGGCTGCAAGACAGTATAAAAATTGGCAAGACGGTATCAACTTTAGCTGGGCAGTAAAAAAAGGTACCAATACATTGTACAAATAAAGAAAGCCCGATAAAATCGTGTCAAAATCAGCCGAAGCCTAAACCTCTGCTTGGAAAGTAGACCTTTGCATCAAACCCTTAGAATAAATATTTATATACTAGTAGTACGATTTTTTCTGCATGACAGAAATGAAACGTGAAAATGCGTGACATGCGTGATCAAAGCAAAAATGATTTCTGTGCCTTCACTGCGATTGACCGATGCGTTTTGCCCTCATTTCCTAAACTGTCCTGCTCTACCCCAGCTAACCAATTATGACTAACTGAATTGCGTCTGTCAAAGATCATTACACCCATTTCTCACTCTGACCTACAGAAATACATTTCTCCTTTCCTACAATCCCTACAATTGTACAGAAAAATCACTATATCAACCGCATATTGTACTTTTTTTATGCACCGAGCACATATACTGCTGAATTTGACATTGTCACATGTAACGTCTTTTTGATACAGTTGTTTTTCGGCCGTGTCCTAATTTCTCGACGGTCAATTTTTAGAAATTCGATGCCGGGCCGCCAAAATAGTCGAACCCACTCCTGAAAATTGGCTTTGCGTCCATTAGAGAGCCTTTTCTTGAATCAATACATATGCAGTCCTTCCTCCTTCATCATTTCGCCATAGCAACTCCCTCATAATCTTTTATTTCCTTCCCCTGAACGCGCTCTTTAATGTTAGAGTAACTGCTGTTATTATGAACACTCTTGGCTTGATATCAAATCTAGAGATTGTAAAAAAGAAGATAATATCAGAAAGCGACGTCTGGTTTTGTGGCGCATTTGTCAGTGCCGCACTGGGAGATCCTAGATGCAGTATTTATGTACTCTAATGGTTTATAATATTCCCATCAATTATTAACCAACCCCGGGATGCATATAGGATCATGTGTTGATGGAGATTTATAGAAACTTTCCTCCGTAAATGTAGAGATTATTAAATGTTTTGGAGAGCGGGGCTGGGAGAGATCTGTTATGTTTCTGACGGGGCGAATTGGAGGAGAGCCAGTGAAGGGTAAAGGGTGATTGGAACATAACTCTATTCTCGCAAACGTCCTCCGAAGTTAGGCCGCGCAAAAGGAAACCGAAAGCGTCGAAACATAATACAACTTTCAGTTAGTGGATACGGACATATATACGTCGGATGTAATGTACAAAAAGAAACTGGAAAATGAAAAAAAAGCTGTTAGTTTAGAGAACATCCTTTAATAGATGCTGAAAAGAGATCAAGAAATTGTAACTTTTTATTTGAATAAACACCAGTCTTAAATTTCGCTGCTGTGTGTTTAAGTTGCAGAGATCGTCAAAGATTTGTAGTTTAGAAAACATCCTGACATTTAAAAAGCGATCAGGAATGTTTAATATTCATTGGAATAAACACCATTCTTAATTAAATTTCACAACTGTTTAGACTCTTTTTTATAAGAATTCAGTAGAGAGATAGTCAAAGATTTGTGAAAAGTACAGGAAAACAGATATTCAGAATGTTCCTATATTTTGTTTCAATGTACAATTTGTCACCGTAGGTCTTGTGTTGTGTGTTCTTTAGATAGGATGCGTGCTTATTTATACAGATATTCCTTCGTTTAATCTGTCATGTGGAAAGCTCCTTCCCCCAATCGTCACACATCCGACACACTTCAAAGAAGTTCCGGTGAAAAACAGGAAAGAATCGCAGCGCTTGTCCCTGGCTGCTGGGCTCGTATCGCCCGGAACACGCGCGCCGACAAATACCCACCATAATCCGCGAAATTACTTCAAAAGAAATGAATAAAAATCGCAACATTACATTCCCCAGTCAGCGGATGCGGGGAATGACTGAATAATGATTCGGACAGCTGCCGCGGCCACATATTTAGAGCCAGATTTGTTTGATAGATCGCGATAAACACTGCAGTTAAACAGCTTGTGAAGAGAAAGAAAGAATGAAACATTTCTAACACCGAAACTGTGCCGTACTACGATCACTGAAACTGTAACTCTTACGCGGTGTGTGCGCACAGCGATGTGTGCGTTCAACGACGGTTATATATTCTTCTCTTTCCGCGAGCCAGAATATGTTGAAAGAAGCTACGCTACATTGACTATCCGCCCTATAAAAGGCAGGCCTGCAGTAATCCTTCAATCAGAGGGGAGCGGTAATGTAACCCGCCAATCAGCAATGGCAGAAATTCTGTCATTGCGATTGTTAGAGTATTGCCGGTTGGAGCAGCGCCCTAAACAGTGTTGTTTGGGCTTACCAAATACAGCGTTCTGGTTTGAGTTCATTTGTTATTATCAATTGCGTACTACAAATTCATCGTTTTTAAAGCCGTATAATTGTTCATATTAGTGTAAGAACTTGAGAGATATCTTGAAAGAAAGAGGGCTTCATTTGTTGCTGATTTTGGGTCAATTTATGGAAGATGAGACGTTGTTATTTTTGTGGTAAGTGAACCGGAATATTTAGTTGGTTTGTAAGCCCCGCCCCCTCACTCAGCTGTGACCCATGCGAGTTGGGAGTGTGTCTGCTCCGCGTGCGAGTGTGTACGTACACCTACGTTCTCCCGTCCGACCCTCTCTCCGCGTTCAAGCGACGCTACGTCCGCCGTACGAGCGTCACCTGCGTCCACACCTTGACGTCGACGCCGCCACGTGAGCCTGCAAACGTCCACGACTCTTCCGAGCGGCAGATTTGAGAACTGTTTTGTGTAGGAACGTTCAAAACTCGGAGAGCGAGTTACTAGTACCCCGTACGGGCCGTCCCGTAGCAGGGGGTTCAGTCCGCCCGCGAGCACAGCTGCTTTTTCACGGGATTATCGTGTTTCAAGCGACCCTGTCGTTAGACTTTCCTCGGGACGGCCATGGCAACGCAGCCGAGCCCTCCTCTCCCCTCGCCCGGTCACGGGCTCAGCCCGCCGCCCGTCGCTTCACCTCTCGGGCTCTTCAAGCTGGACAAGCCGGCCTACAGCACACCACCGCCCGCCGAGAACACGCCTGCCAACAACGTCTGTCGGATGATCGACTACCGGGGCGCCAAGGTACGGCATTAACGTACTACGCACGAACAGAACTCCTCCAATCTCAAGCCTATATACTTTGCCAAGCAGTAGTCAAATGTTTCTTTTTTTCCAGTGTCATTATTTGAGCATATTTCCACTTTTGTCTCCTTATCGGGAAAGTCAAGTTCGTGCCTTGCGGCGCGCGTAAGAACTACAACCCCGAAAAGAAAATATATTTCTACGGACTTTCTCAAATATGTCCGAGATAGCTCTTACTAGATGGCGATTTAAAACTTGGTCTGTTGATTTCATAGGTTGCAGCCTTCACTGTTGACGGGAGAGAAGTCATCTGCCTCCCGCAAGCCTTCGACTTGTTCCTGAAGCACCTTGTCGGCGGGCTACACACCGTCTACACCAAGCTGAAGCGCCTGGACATCACGCCGGTCGTCTGCAACGTAGAGCAGGTCCGGATCCTTCGGGGCCTGGGCGCGATCCAGCCGGGAGTCAACCGCTGCAAGCTCCTGAGCAAAGAAGAGTTCGACATTTTGTACGAAGACTGCACAAATTCCAGGTAAGAGAAAACTACACACACGGAAAAAGAAGCAACAAGGTAAAACGTGTACCTGCTTCTCACAGGTGTTTGTTTTTACACGTGATTTATGTTACGTGAACTTGACGCTATTGTAGTCGACGTTTCGGGTTCAATAGTCGGCGTAAAATACGACGTCAGCGCCAACAAACCGCGATGGAAAAAGTTTTGTCTTTCTGATAACGGGCCGCATTTTATGTCGATTTCGTCGTAAATTACAATGGCTGAATTGTACAGTTTTATGAATACAAATGTATTTCTATGTATGCTCTTGAAATGTCAAGTGACAATAATACTATATTTATCTGCTGATACCAAAGAATTCAAACGATAGCCTGCTCCGGAATATAATGTGGGTAAATAAAGATGAACACGAGCTATCGAGTACTTTTTGCTTGTCTGTGGGCCACGATCTCGTAGCGAGCGTCAAAAAACACCCGAAAGCATTCTTTAACGTCTGTCAAAATTAGTGTTTTTATTCTTTCAAGAGAAGGAATGTCGACCTCTCTGGAACATCTGGACCTATTTTTCATGCATTAATGCACCAGCCGAGAAGGATCAGTTGCACCATAAAACATGTCCCGTCGCGACCGGGCGTGTTGCAAGGCTTGGGCCGCGGGGCCTGTGTTGTTGCCACGCCGGCCTGCCCGGTTCTTATGAACGAAACGCCGTTTGTATACAGTCATAACAAACGTCCATTTCTCCCCATTTCCTGCCGTCCACACATACTCGTGTGTGTTTGTTAATCTTACAAGACAGGTTTTTAGTCTTACTGTAGGCCACTTCACTAATATCTAAGGCCGGGCTAGGAACGAAAACCTTGAATGAAACTTGGCATTACAAGACGGAGCAGCACTACGCACACTACTGTCCAACTTCTATTTGTAGTTCAATGATCGGAAAGAAAGTTGTTTTATGTATGTTTGAATGTCAGATTGGCAGTCGTCCTAGTCGACCCTGGATTCTGCTCGGAATTGTTCCGGTAGCTATGCATCAGCAGAAATATTTGGGTCACTCCATTGGAAAATTGTTCCGTGCTTGCAGGCGGTGGGTCTGAGTTTCGTGACCGGCCGAAATGTATATTTGGCGGGCGGATTTCTGTTTGCTCCCAGGTAGTACGCATAGCGAGTAGAACTCCCGTGGCCTTGCCATCAACTATACCTGCAACCGTATTTTAGAATTAGCGTGCCTTTTCCGGCCTTTCCAGTCGACTGAAAGCACCACAGGAGGCTTGTTTTTCCAAGTGCGTTGCCCAGAAAATGGACTCTAATTGCGGCCGATAATGATTCACAAACCACCCTCAATGCCACCGATTGAAAAGAATTGTGACGATTCATCCTTGGGCTTTCTTCTTTGTTATTTATTTAATTCCTTTCTTTGAGGTGGGCAAAGAGTAGTTAGAAAGGTTTTCTGAAGCTTTGAAGAGAAAATTGAAGAGAACCCCAATAATCAATGTAATTTTCCTGTCCCTGGTAGTTGAAAGCCCCATTTCTCAGAATAATTCCAACAATTGTAATAAGAGATAATGCTCCTGCGGCAACCTAGCCTGGGCGTTGTATTTTGAAGAGCCCACTTTGTATGCATACACTGAATCCAGTGACCTGAAATAATCGACTTTACAATGCATGTTTCAACCATGAGGCTATAGGCCGCAATAGTTTTAACATCTGTCACATCCACATATGTCTAATTTATTCAACCACAAATGTAGAAAATACCACATTTGTACATCTTATCAGAAAAAAGAAGCTTTTCAATCCTTTTTCAAGATGGTCGGTTAGTGTTGTGGGATGGCATCTAGGTGCTAAGTGATAAACACACCATTAGGAAAATTACCCACCCCTATCAACAGTGGCATGTATTTGTATTTCTACCATTGGTCATTACAATTGTCATTCAGACTGTCAGACAATAGGGACAGTTTTGTGAGGTGTGAAAGTGGGGAATGGGGGAGCCATGGATCTGTCTGGGCAAGGACTTGGTCTGGGCTAGACTTGGTGGTGCCAAGTACAAATGTAATTGGATAGATTTTCACAGCTTATTTTGCAAGTTACATAAGAGGAAAACAACAGAATTATAACTATTGTATATCTCACAGCAGTTGTATAATTTCTTCACAGATTATCCTTTATGTATTGTAGATTTCTGGGAAACTAGTTTGTTTGTTTTGTAGACAGGTTATTCTCCATGTCCATGCTGTAATTTTGTCTGTAAAGCAATTCTATGTCTATCAATACTATAGCTGAGCAGATTAATTGATATTGAGCAATCATCATTCGGCTACACGATTTGTATGTCTGTACCAGTTACAGGTTTCTTTTTGAAGTCTGTTCCTGTTTTTTGTTCACACATTTTTTTCTTTTGTTGTTATGTCGTTGTGGTATCTACAGTGGGTGTGATTTGTTGGTGAGGAATGTAATGACAATTGTGTTTGAGTAGCCATATAAATGCCAGTGTTGATTATAGCACCCTCGTGCCTGGGTGCGCCTGGTAGTATCAGCCGTCATGCCTCTTCACAGAACTTTATGGCCTTGTTTTTCACAGATGGGTTCGATCAGAACAACAAGCAATTTGGTGTTAGGTAGAGCAAAATGTACCAAGTACTAGTTGTCTCCTTTCTCAGTGATGTCACTAAGTGTCAGGCTAGTAAAGGGTCCCCAAGAAAGTATAGAAAGTGAGGATTTGTGAATATTTAGTTTCCAGTATTGTTTTGCCATTGGAATCGAAATATTTATTTGCATTGATAATCCTTAATATTGATTTTTGCAGGTGTGAAAAAGTAATCATCTTTATTGCTAGGATGAAATGAAAAAGAAAGAAGAAAAATGCTGAATCAAGGACCTGTCCAAATCCCATTGGGATAGATGATAACACATACAGTCATATAATTTGCCATTCAAATAAAAATGATTTATTTCAGTTGCATGTTACATTCATCCATTAAAGCATTGTAATGTAGCGATATTGAATCCGAGAAGTGTTCAATTATAACTGGTAATGGAATCAGCAATTTGTATGCGAAAAAGAGGATTTATACAGAATGGTCTGTTGTTGTTTGGGGGAAATCCTATAGCCAGGGTGTGTGTATTGATCAATCTTCAGATTTAGATTCTCATTTGAGATAAAATTCAAGACTTGATTAAATGGAGACAAAGACCTGTCCATCATTCCAGAAATCCTCTGGAAGTAAAAGAAAAGACCAATTCTACAAAGGTTGAAGCCAGAAAATAGAGAAAAAGAAAACAGAAGTACTGACGACATTTGCTGCAAAGGGGTTAAATTTTTCGCCACAGATGTAAAAATTAATTTTTTACCCAGAAAAAGTATCCGGATGCGTGTTTTGATTCCCTTTGTGGGAAAAGTTAGGAAAGACTTAAGAAATGGCCACCAAGTACAAAATTGTTCCCCTCCAAGTCAGTACATTTCATTTTACCACCGTATTCTGACAACTGCTACAAAAGTGTGTGATTTTTCCCGCAGACGTAAAAATTCATCTCCACCCAGAAAAAAAGGTATCCAGATCATGCTTGTTTCGATTCCCTCTGTGTTTATTAACAGTTGGGAAGACCGAAGGAAAAAATACTCTTCATCTTATGTACATCATATTACCATAATATTTGTATTCTGACAACTGCTACCGTTACAAAATGTGTGACTTTCCACAGACGCAAGAATTCATTTTCACACCCAGAAAAAAGTATTGGATGTGTTATTTGGATTCCATCTGCGAGGGTAATTAGTAAACCTGAAGTGTTCCGGCCAAGCGGCTTAGCGCGGGGTGTTTTTGCCAGCTCCAGTTGCTCCGCTTTTGTGAGCTTTCCATTTGCCGGAGATTCTGTTTCATTGTGTGTTATTTGCATTGCATTAGGAAGAAACATTAAGAAGTCTAAATGCTGGGCTCCATTAGCGGCCTGGAGAGTGGGATATATTTACCACGGACGAAGAAAGAGCTCTTTGTGCGATTGCCTCGCAGATCCAATTCAAGAGATTTGATTTCAGACGTACATTTATGGGACAGGCAGACAGGGGAACATTTGTGCGCCCTCCTTTTTGTTCCTCAACGGAAATAAAATCCTAAATTTAGGGGATGAAAGCAGGGGGTACTTTGGCCTGCATTGTGATGCGTCGATGGTGTCTTTTGATATTAGAAGTCATCCCGACATTTATTGCATGATTTGTGAATGACGTACAAGCGAAAGTTCTTGAAAGAGCTCTTTATGAGTTGAATACACCGAACATAAAGCTGATTTAAAAGTTCTGAATAGATGAGTCAAAGCAGAGAAAACATATCTTTAGAGCACAGTTTTATGTATGATATATATATATATGATATATGATTCTTTTTCTTCTATTCAATAGTGACTGCTTCAATACTATTATGGCATTTGCATGCTTTTTTTCAATTCCACTGTGCAAAAGCAGCACAGTCATATAAATGATACATAAAAGCAAAATGTCATTGATAATGTCCTTGCCAGCAAAAGGGATAGGATCTGCTTTTTGGCTATGGTACTTGTGCATATATACTGGTAATGTGATTTGGTACTTTCCCAATGGATTTATATGGCTTTACTTTAGCCTGGTTTTTAAATGTTCATTCCACCCGTTTTATATTTTTTACGGAAGGCGTACAATGAAAAAAAAAATTGTGAAGATACTAGTAAACAAAATGAGTGTAATGACACACATAGAACAAGCGTTGCCCGTTGGTAACGTTGAGTGATTTGAATAGCGAGGTCTCCTTTTCTGTCCTTTCCTGCCAACATTTTTTGGTCACGCCAGTCAGAATCTCAATGGGCAAAATTCAAATACCTGGCCCTTTGGGGAAACAAATGCCCCGAAACGCTGCAAATTAATGAGATAAGGAAAGATCGATGATTCCGCCCTCGTTTATGGGAGATGAGCTGGTGCTATTAGCCTGTCATCGGCGCGATTCTCGATCCTCGGGCCCCGAAGGTGATAGCTTGACTTTTTACTCCATG